ATTCACCTACATGTTGCTAACTTATAACTTAACTGATGAGCTGATATACCTCACCTCTATGAGTGGCCCTTCGTATATTTTTCTGTATGTGGCCCTCGGTGAAAAAAGTTTGGACACCCCTGCTTTAAACTCATTGGTAACACGTTAAAGTCTTTGGTAACACTTTTTTATTATTGCTGGGCAACGATTACACATTTTAATCATGATTAATCAAATGACTTTCTGCGAATAATTGCATTGTTATGCACGCAATTCAATAATGAATTCAGGAGTAGTGTAATGCTTACTTTTATTTTAAAGGGGACCTATCATGCAAAATGCACTTTTGTACGTCTTTTATACATGAATATGTGTCCCCGGTGTGTCAGTGAACTCACCAAGTCTCAGAAAGCACAACCTTCTCTCTTTTCCTCCATACCCAAATCTCTAAAAACGGGGCTGCAACGGATCTGATACAGACTGATACAGATTTGAAAATTCTCTGACGTCAGGAACGAGGATCTCCGCCTATATGGCCAACTCTCCACCTATCAGGGGAATGTGGGGTTGGGCCACGGCCGGCCATTGCCGCTCGAAAGCACTGGAGACGCTGTAGTACATATGCCAGGCCTGTAAGTGGCGCTGTAGTCTGCCACAAAAGCAGCGAAGAAGACTTGTCATGCATGGTTGCCATGGTTGCCCTTCTGTTTATTCTCCGCTGTGGCTCTTTTTCTCCCTCCCCGAGGCAAGCGTTTGCTGCTGTAATTCAATGCAATCCCTCCCCGCCGAGGCAAGTGCTGTAATTCTCTCCCGTAGTCCACCAGCAGATGACAAACACCCACCTCTCCGCCTCTTCCAAGGAACGAGGGGACCGTGCGGCAGAGTTTCAGTTAGATTTGTTTTCGCCGGTCAACATGTCCGTTAAAGTTTAAATCTTCCGGACAAAATTAGAAAAGTGCCGGTCAAAGGTCTTCTTTGTTATTTATTGAGCTTTAAAACAAATGAATAATGACTCTATATAATCATATAAGAATAAAACACGGAGGACGGAGATCTCTTTTTCTCCCCTTCTTCTGAGAGCCCAGCAGCTGATCTCAAAGCACACTCCCCTCTCCTGCAGGGGGGCGTGGTCAGCTGCAGCTCACAGAATCAGCCCTCTGCAAAAGCAGGACTGGAAAGAGCGAAATGAGGCATGGCTAAAATGCAGGATCTGTTTGGTATTTTGAAAAAAAAACGATATTTATATACTTTATATAGGTATGGCCCTACAATATATTGTTCAAATATAGCATGATAGGTCCACTTTAAACAAATAAGGTTATTTTTAACAGTAGTAGGCCTATTCCCTTTACAGAGTAGCATTTAAATGATGTCTTGTACATCTCAAAAAATATTAATGTAATCAAATATAAAACCAAAGCTATTTGCCACTGCCAGGGCATTGAAAATTGTATTTAGTTTGTTATTATGGATGGGTATCGTTAAGGTTTTAACGGTACTACTACTTTTAGCGATACCGCTTATCGATCCGGTCCGTTAATGATACTCTTATCGGTTCTTTTGAGAAAAAAAGGTAATGAACTAAACAAATTGTAAATAATGTGAACTTACAGAACTGTACAAATAAAAAAAGTATTTACTGCAAACATACAGTAGTACAGAGCAACACAGGTGGGGCATACAGGTATGCTGCAAAAGGCCTAACGGTTCTTCTGGAGGAAGATTAAGGTATGAACTCCGTGTATTGCTGCTAGCATACATAACATACCTGACGTGGAAACGTTACTCGTGGATGGGGCTATAGAGCTACTAGAAAGACAGTCAAACGGTGCATTTCTCCGTCTGAATGTGGTGCACTTTTACAAGATGTTTAGATAAATGCTCGTGTTACCGTCCTTAAATGCTAAACTCTTATTGCACTTTTGGCAACGAGCATTGTCCACCTCAAGACGGGTAAAGTTTAACCACACCTTGCAGCGCTTAGTTCTCTCCGCCATCTCCGCCGTGTGTGTGTGTTGCTTGCATGTAGCAGCCGCGTGTGTGTAAACCGCCCCTGCCCCCTCACACACAGACGTGGGAGAGAGAGAGAGATGTATTTGTTTATTTTATTAGGATCCCCATTAGCTGGTGCATAACAACAGCTAATCTTCCGGGGGTCCACAAATAACATAAAGCATGACATTCGACAGTACATTACAAGACAATGATACAAATCGTGTACGGCGTCAATTTTCCTTCAAACAGTGACTTTCATATCAACCATCACATACAGCTTATTTACTTATTCCCCATTTCCTTGGAAAGAAAAATTCAAAAAAAGAACAATAATAATAGTGATTTTCCAAATGTCTCCCTTCTTTTAGAGTAAAAACAAACTAAACAAATACAATCCTCATAAATAACTGTGAAAGGCTGTGTGTGTGTCTATGTTAGCGAAAGTACCGTATTCCTGCATGTGTTTAAAAAACCTATATGAATCGGTGTGCTGCTGTATGTTTACCATAACCTGTCTGCCGCTTGTGTAATTTACAATCTTTGAGCTTCTAGATGTCTCTTCAATCGTCTTTTGAAGCTTGCTTTAGTTGTTTCTTTAGAAATCTGATCTGGCAGTGTGTTCCATGCAGCCATGGCTCTATACAGCACTGTGCTCTTCATAGACTCTGTTTTGGCTTTAGGGATTTGATAGCAACCTCTTGTGGCATGTCTCGTTTTATATGTATGGATTTTAGAGCTAGGTGTAAGTTGCTTATATAGATAGGTTGGATGTTTCAGCTCATTTATATTTCTCAAAAAGGCAAGGAGTGATACCATCAGCCTCTCCGTGACTAATGTCCAGGTGAGCTTGACATGCATTTTGTTTACATTATGTCTTGGTGTACACCTAAGGGCAAGCCGAGCTGCTCTGTTTTGAACCAGTTGCAGCTTTCCCAGGTCCCTCTTGTTTGCCCCTGACCAGATCATTGAGCAGTAGTCCAGTTGTGAAAGTACTAGAGTCTCAATGACTTGTTTTGTCAGTTGCGGTGGTAAAAACACTGAGCACCTCTTGATGACAGATATATTCCTCCCCATCTTTGCCACCACTGACTCTATGTGTTTCGTCTATGATAAATTGTTCACTAGGATGAGTCCCAGGAGCTTTGTTTCCTCCACCTGCTCAACCTCTACATTATTCAGCATCAGATTCAACTGCGGCTTAGACCTTAGTACGTAATTTGTGCCAAATACAATACTTTTTGTTTTTTGAATGTTGAGCACTAATTTGTTGCTGGTCACCCATTCCATTACTGTTTTCAGTTATTTGTTCAGAATATCAGTTATCTCACCGATTGTGGGAGCCTGTGTATATATTGTCGTGTCATCCGAGTACATAGAGACTTGTGCTTTTTCAAGAGCTAATGGAAAATCATTTGTAAAGATTGAGAAGAGTAAAGGACCTAGTGAACTTCCTTGTGGAGTTCCACTTGCAACACATCTAGCACTAGAGATACTGCCATTAAAGTATACACTTTGAGTTCTGTTATATAGATAGCTTTCTAGCCATGATATCGCCTTTGGGGCAAAACCATAGCACTCCAATTTGTCAAGTAAAATTCTATGGTCTATCAAATCAAAGGCAGCGCTATAATCTAATAGTACTGCTCCCACCATTTTCTTCACATCAATCTCTTTCATCCATTGATCTGTCATTTGTGTTAATGCTGTGGCTGTTGAGTGACCCTCTCTATACAAAGAGACATGTTGATACTCACTCATCAGACTGTTAACAGAAAAATAGCATTGTATTTGATTGAATACCATTTTTTCTAGTAGTTTGTTTAGAACAGGTGACAGGCTTATTGGTCTGAGTGGAATAACTTTAGCTACTTTCCAGATTTGCGGGCATGTACCTTCCAAACTCATGTTAAAAATATGACAGATGGGTGCAGCAATGAACTTGGCTACATTCTTTAATAGCTGACCGTCTAAGTTATCAATACCTGGTGGTTTATCATTATTGATTGCCAACAATAACTTTTCCACCTCTTCTGTCCTAACTTTACCCAGCTCAAAGGTGCAATTTTTATTTTTCATAATACGTTCTCTAATATTAACATAGGACGACTCGCAGCTAGATTTTGGCATTCCCTGCCTTAGCTTCTCCACTTTATCAATGAAATAGTTATTAAAATAATTGGCAATATCTAGTGGTCTAGTAATGTATGTCCCCTCTGATTCTATAAAGGATGGTGTTGAGTTGTTTTTCCTACCCATGATGGTATTCAAGGTACCCCAGAGCTTTTTTCCATCATGCTTTATATCATTTATCTTAATCTCATAATACATTTTCTTCTTCTTTCTGTTCAGTTTTTTTTTCAGAATGATTAGATCTCCCCACCCCCAGGGGCTCCCGGGCTTAACAGGTTGAATACCAACCAACTATGTGCTATATGTGCAATATATATGTATGCCGTTAATAACTGCAATATATACCTGGCTGCTAAATTCTAAAAACTGTTACAGGATGTGTATTTTGTAAATTGTCTTGTTTTTTTAATTATATCATAACTTTTTGTTTTTACTTTAATACTTTTGACAAATAATCAAGAAACATCATAAATAAAATACTGACGGGGAAAATGTTATTGCAGTATCATTACTTTTACATAAGAAGGTGTTAATTTCTGTTAATACTTGCGTACTTTTACTTAAATAAGGTTTGAATGCAGGATTTGTATTAGTAATAGAGTATTACCTTTCTATAGGCGTAGTGTATCTGTTAACAATGCCAAATACAATTCATTGTTGACATTGCAGCTAGTGCTAAACCAGAAGAAAACCCCCTTTTTCATTTGTAACTGGAAGTGGAAAGGGGTTGGGCTACATGAGGTGAATTCAGACAACAAAAATATACAATAGGTGGGACTAAGAAAGATGATATGAAAGTGTAAAAACAAAGGCATTAATTAGGGCTGCAAAATGTCTCCCATTGTAATGGTGATTAGATTAACAGTTTTTTCTGACTGCGTTTCCTGATCCTGCAGATGTCCAGCTGCTGGAGGTGGTTAAAGAAGAGGTTCTCCCTGACCAGCAGGAGTTGAGCACCAGTCTGGACCAGGAGGACCCAGAGCCCCTCCCACACATTAAGCGGGAACAGGAGGAACTCAGGATCAGTCAGGAGGGAGAGCAGCTTCATGAGCTGGAGGAGGCTGATATCACCAAGTCCACTTTCACTCCTGACCCTGTGAAGAGTGAAGATGATAAAGAGAAACCTCAGTCCTCACAGCCTCATCAAAGACAAACGGAACACATGGAAACAGAAGCTGATGGAAATGACTGTCGAGGACCAGAACCAGCCAGGAACTCAGATTCAGAGAGCAGTTTACACCCAAAGACTGAGGACGACACTGGAGACTCTTCTGAACCTGACTCTGGAGACTCTTCTGAACCTGACACTGAAGACAGTGCCGATTGGAAAAAGACCAGAGAACCTGCGTCAGACACAAACTCACTGAAAAATAGACATGAATCTGTCAGTGATTCAAGCCGTAGTGCTGCAAATAAACCATTCAGCTGCTCAGTCTGTAAGAAAGCTTTTTCACAGAGTAGGAATGTAAAGGCACACATGAGAATCCACACAGGAGAGAAACCATTTAGCTGCTCAGTTTGTGAGAAAGCTTTTTTGCGGAGTGCACATTTACAGGCACACATGATAATCCACACAGGAGAGAAATCACACAGCTGCTTAGTCTGTAAGAAAGCTTTTTCACAGAATATAGACTTAAAGAGACACATGAGAATCCACACAGGAGAGAAACCACACAGCTGCTCAGTCTGTAAGAAAGCTTTTTCACAGAATACAGATTTAAAGAGACACATGAAAATCCACACAGGAGAGAAACCACACAGCTGCTCAGTCTGTAAGAAAGCTTTTTCACAAAATACAGATTTAAAGAGACACATGAAAATCCACACAGGAGAAAAACCCTTTAGCTGCTCAGTTTGTACCAAATATTTTGCATTGTGTGGAAATTTAAAAAAACACATGCGAATCCACACAGGAGAGAAACCACACAGCTGCTCAGTCTGTAAGAAAGCTTTTTCACAGAGTGGAAATGTAAAGACACACATGAGAGTCCACACAGGAGAGAACATATACAGTTGCAATGTTTGTGACAAAATATTTAAATGGCGTAATGATTTCAAAAGACACAAGTGTGATGGTTGTCAGTCCTCACAGCTTAATGAAATTCAAACAGAGGATAACGGAGAGGCAGAGCCTCCAATCAGCAGCTCAGCTGAACACATGGAAACAGAAGCTGATGGAGGACAATGAATAAGTCTTATGACAGTTCACACATGAGAAAAATCTGTCTGACTGGATTAACAATGTTGCACACTATTCCTATGAGACATAAATGAACTCCATCTTTATCAATATAAGTGGACAATATGTTTAATGTTTTTGTCATACTGATTTTCTGATGTATACGTTAACCACTGACTGTTGATGAACCATTGTATTTTGGATTGAGGGCTCCAAGTTTCCATATAGAGATATAGGATGATTTGGTGTATTGCTCTTTATTTCTAAATGTTTTGTATCATTGCTATCCTGTTAATGAGCCCTGTTTTACATAAATGTACCTGTTATCTGATTGTTTTTGCTTCTGTAACTGTAAGGGAATACATTTGCCTATTTTGTATCCTGATGACCTAATGCCGTTACATGTAATACGTTACTCCCTAAGCCTGATTTCACCCACCTGCAACCGATTCGCTAATAATCACAAATGTTCATTTCTTTGACCCCTTGATTAGACTATTTCTTGTTTAATAATCGTTACATCTCCTCAGGACCAAGTTCCCGTGTCCTGCCTTTCACCTGCTGATCACCCACTGCTCATTTAAGGTGGACTGACCTTTACAATGGACCATCCAGTTCAACTGTCATCCACATATTAATGATTCAAAACAGCAATGTGTAAGATATGGCTAGTAATTGACTATTTCAACAGAATGTAAAGGGGTTACAGTCTTGAGGCCATGTCCAATATGTTTGTGTTTTGTTTGATTAAATCGACTGAAATGAGCATTCAATGACTACATTATTCTTAATTACTTTCATTACATCATGGGTTTGCATTGCAATATTAGAACGAATAAAACCCAACTTTATTTCTTCTAAGTTGCGGGTGTTCATTGTTTAGAAGTCAGCTGTGTTTCATCTAAGCTTCTTCTTTGTGCTCCGATAATGCTGAAAGTATCTTATATGCTTTACCTGCTCCAGTAACAAACGTATAATTCACTGGACATAGACAAGAGATAGTGAATGGATCCAGAGGAGAACCAGAAGATAGTCCGTATAGAGCAGAGGTGCCCAGTACGTCGACCGCGGGCGACCGGTCGCCCGCGGGGGCAAAGCTGGTAGATCGTGAGTCATTCTTAAAAAAAAAATCCAGCTCCGTTAAAATAGACAAAACAGGTTTTGATCCCTCCTCCCTTGGCCTCCCTGCCACTTAATTCAGGAGTTTACTTGATTGACAGAAAAAGCGACCTATCGCTTTCCAGTCTGTTAACCCAGAATGCAAAGCGATACAAAATTAGTCAAGTGCCTGGAAAACTCAAATTAAGTTAAAGAGACTAACAAGAGACAAACAACCAAATGAGTGCGGGACCGAGCAAGAAGCTAAAGACAAACCACTTCCACACAGAATGGGAGGAAGAATATTGTTTTGTGATGTCACATTCAAAGGTTATTTGCCTTATTTGTAAAGCAAGCGTCGCTCTGCCAAAGAAAGGTAACGTGGAGAGGCATTATCGGAGTGTTCACAAGGCATATGACAGCGACTTGAGAAAGAGAAAAGGTCATGTATTATTGCTACACAAACATTATATCACAGTCTTAGTGTCGCCAACTCGTTTCTAACATGCAAAAAGACAAACAAATGCGTCTATGGTCGGTGTATTTTCGACCTTTCCGATCCAGACGAGATCTCTCTCTCCCCCGTCTGTGAGGGGGCGGGGCAGTTTACACACACTCGGCTGCTACATGCAGAAACACACGGAGGGGATGGCGGAGAGAAGCGCTCCAAGGTGTGGTTAAATGTTACCCGTCTTGAAGTGGACAATGCTCGTTGCCAAGAGTGTTTAGCATGTGAGGGCGGGAACACGAGCAATGTGTCTAAACATTTAGCAAAAGTGCACCACATTCAGACGGAAGAATGCACCGGGTTCGACTGTCTTTCTAGCAGCTCTGTAGCCCCATCCACGAGTAACGTTTCCACGTCAGGTGTTATGCTAGCAGCAACACACGGAGTTAACTCAATTATACAAACACGGGTTAATGATTAGAGGAAACTGAGTTACTCTTTATTTTGTTAAAGTTTCAGCTATTCTGTTTACAGTTCTGTCATCAGATTATTTAATAGGATTTGTTAAAACATTGTTGTTTCTTTTGATGCGAAATATTATTTATTTTATTTAAATAAAAAGCAATGTTAATTTTGTAAACAATTTGTTAATTTAATAATATATGTATTTTTGAATCAAGTATTCATCTTTATTGTCTTCATTGTTAGTTTCCACATGCCTAAAACAACCTCAAGCTAAATCTAAAAGTTGATGGCTAAATAAGAGCGTTTGAGAAATTGTGCAAGGCATACAGTAATAGTCCGAATAGTCGATTAGTCGTTTCATTAATCGATAGATTAATCGATTATCAAATTAGTCGTTTGTTGCAGCCCTATTATCCCATGTATAAATAAAACGTGTTATTCAGCAACCCTTGCAATTTGGGATTTTATTTTTGGTTGGTAGACCTCGGTGAGCTGGTCATTTCAAAAGTAGCTCACCAGCCCAAAAAGTGTGGACACCCCTGGTATAGAGCCTTCAGGTTCTGAAAATTATCAGGGATAGAGCTAGAAAAAAACTAAGAAAACCTGAATAGAGCTAGAAGATAGCCAGTACAAAGCCAAGAGAGACCCATGGGGTAGTAGAAAGACAGCAAGGAGCCAAAATAGTTTGTATTTTTTCTTTTGTAATATTCAAGCTCTTGTATCCTTTTATTCCAATTAAAAAACTTTACTTTTTTGCTGCCAATTATTGAGATTGTTTCACAGCTTTATCTTAAATATGTAGACTTTTTCTTTACATATAGATTACATAGGATGAACAGCACGATCCACTCTGCTGGATTCTGCCCTAATCTGCTCAAAATGAATGCAAACATCTGGCTTTATCCAAACTCCTGCAGTTGTATTGTTCTGGATTCATAGTGAAGTGTATTAGATGTTCTGCACTGTTATTGTTATGTATTTAATATAAACTGAAATACCCATAAAAAAAGTCTGAAAAGAAAAGGGACTCACTTGAGGAAAAAGGTTCTGAACCAATGAGAGTTCTTCATTTGCACATAAACATCGTAAAATATTTAAAGTTGTGACCAGATGGTGTCGCCTGCTGAAATACAAGGTGAGTTTCTGTTTCTTTCTTTTACTTCTTTAACATGTTTTATTAAAAATGTATAAAATAATGTGGTGGAGATCAGGGGCGTTGCCTGGACCTGAAAACATCCGGGGCTTAGCCCACAGTGGCCGCGGCCGCGGCGCTCCAGTAGAATGTTCTACTGCAACACTGTGGTTATGTCCTAAGAAAAAGCTGTATATCTTTAAGTAATTTACTCACTTTTTTGTAACACAACATTTGCTTCATTATGGCAATCCATTTCTAAAAGAAATAATGAATGTATAGACTCCTCCTTTTCCACTGTCACTCCATCATTTCATTAATGTAATTTCATGTCATAACTTCTTAAAGTATTTATTTATTTACTGTGAGAAAAAAAAACTGTTCAAAGGGACTATATTGTACATTGAAGAAGTTGTTTAGAAACTGTGTTCTTCAGTATTTTTGGTTAGAGGAATATTGAAATGATTGCCATATAGGAGAGAGTATGGAGATAGCAGCAAAGTCTTTGTCCGTCTTTTTTTCTTGCTGTGACTTCAGTGCAGTAGTTGTTTTTTAGGCTGTTCGACTGTAACTGTAATTAAAGCAGTCTCCAGAAATGATATGTTTAGGACTGTTGTCTCAGCATTTATAGATATGTTCTATTTCTATTTTTAAGGTCATTTCCCTGCAGCTCTGTACTGCCATTTCTCTCTCTGGTGTCACAAGTTGTCCACTGGAGAACGCTGCAGCTCCTGAGATTTAACACTGATGCTGCAGAAAGCTTTCTTACTGCTGTTGAATAGATTCCAGTACATTCAAGAATATTATTAATGCCACTATGCAAAGAAGATCTGTTTGTGAGTATCATAGAAAGAAAAAGATTGGCAAATAAATGAAGAGGGAATTAAAACGAGTATGTACCTGAACGAAAAGTATTACAATTACCTCAGGGCTCTGTTCTTGGTCCCCTCCTCTTCTCCCTGTACACAAACTCGCTCGGATCAGTCACTAGCCCGCATGGTTTTTCATACCACTGCTACGCTGACGACACCCAATTAATTCTGTCCTTTCCCCGCTCAGAGACCCAGGTCGTCGTACGCATCTCTGCTTGTCTAGCTCACATCTCTCAGTGGATGTCTGCTCATCACCTCAAGCTCAACCTTGACAAGACTGAACTGCTTTTCCTTCCAGGAAAAGATTGTCCCACTCTTGACCTGACAATCAACATCGGCACCTCTGTTGTTTACCCCGATTCAGACTGCAAGGAATCTGGGTGTGATCCTAGATAACAACCTGTCCTTCACTGCAAACATCGCTGCTACAACCCCTTGCTGCAGATACACGCTTTACAACATCAGGAAGATACGTCTCCAGCTGACCCAGAAAGCGACGCAGGTTCTGGTCCAGGCTCTCGTCATCTCACGCCTAGACTACTGCAACTCCCTCCTGGCTGGTCTACCTGCATGTGCCATCCGACCTCTGCAGCTCATCCAGAATGCAGCGGCTCGTCTGGTCTTCAACCTTCCTAAATTTTCCCACACCACTCCGCTCCTCCGCTCCCTTCACTGGCTTCCGGTAACTGCTAGAATCCACTTCAAGACACTGGTACTTGCATACCATGCTGCGAATGGATCTGGCCCTTCCTACATCCAGGACATGGTTAAACTGTACACCCCAGCACATGCACTACGCTTTGCATCAGCCAAACGACTCGCTGCACCCTCGCTGCGAGGGGGACCCAAGTTCCCATCAGCAAAAACACGTGGGTTTGCTATCCTGGCTCCAAAAAGGTGGAATGAGCTCCCCATTGACATCAGGACAGCAGAAAGCCTGCACATCTTCCGGCGCAGACTGAAAACTCTTCTCTTTCGACTCCACCTCGAGCGATAGAATTACTAACAAAGAACTGCTAACAGAGCACTTATATACTAATAAAGGGACTGGCTTATCTATAGCCAGTTGAGTAGCACTTGAAATGTTTGGCTCTATGAAACCTGATGTACTTATATGATTCTGTTTTCTTCAAGGTTGTGTCTTCCTGGTCGAATGTACTTATTGTAAGTCCCTTTGGATAAAAGCGTCAGCTAAATGCAATGTAATGTAATGTAATGTACACAGATGGATCTAAGAAGCAAGAATGCGCCGGGATAGGAGTATATCCCAGAATTCAAAATATCAATCGCAAACGAGTGTCAAATAACTTATCAGTTTATACAGCAGAAATACTATAGCAGCAATTATTGGGCTACAATGGGTTGAAGAGGTCAGATAGGGTCGTGATATGCACAGACTCACTATGTGCTTTGAAAAGCATACAGTCGACAATAAATAATAAAATGATGCTGTATGATGTCCTTTTGTTGTTCTATTTATGTTTTTATGTTTCATGTGGAACTACTTGAGCAGGTCTCCCTTGAAAAAGAGATCAATGATCTCAATGGGATTTATCTGTATAAATAAAGGTTTGAAATGAAATGAAATAACTGTTAGAGAAGATTTAATCATTGAAATTAACCATTGCTGATTGAAACTTCAGAGGAGGGGCATAGATGTGCAGTTATGCTGGGTGCCTGCACATGTTTATGTTTATTAAGGATCCCCATTAGCTTTTGCTCTCGACAAAAGCTACTCTTCCTGGGG